CCTATACTGTCCTGGGGCTTCCTTATGATATCTATAGTATAATGGCCCCAAATCTCCAGTCTCATTATGAAGGCCCCCATATTACTGATAATGGCCAGCTCTGGCTCTCTTCTTTATCGATGCGTGTCATCCCCTTGGGCACCGGGCGAAAACCGAGTCCGTGTCACCGTAGATGACCTTGGCGCCGGGCCACGTCGCCTGGAGACAACTCACGCCGATGCACTTTCAAAGCCTGCCTTTTTTCAAAGCCTGTCTTAATGGAACCCGCACGTCTTGCATCGCGAAAGGCATGGGTGCATGTATGTGTATGTGCGTATGTAATTTGAAGGCAATGTAATGTATGTTCAGGTGGCACACTGCAACTCAATGTAATTCATTAAATTAGATGAAGTGTAACTTCATCTAGTGGCATGTGGCGGCATGCAATGTAGTGTAGTGTAAGGTTTCAGCGCTCACACTCGGACAATCCAGGCGAGGCATGTGGTTCGAGGTCTGTCAAGTGAAACGACTCTAGCTGGGAGTATGTTGACAACACTTGACAAACACAAAGTTTTCAATCTCAGCCCAGCGAATAGCCCTCCACGACAATGCTCTCACGGATCATCTCGTCCAGCTCGTCCGGGTCCGTTAAGCAGCCCTCAGGAACATAGAGCTGGTTGAAGCATGTGTGCCCGGTCAGTGGAGAGCATCGCACGGTGGCGTTACCTTGCTGAGTCGGCTTTTCAAGCTGGAATCTCATGAAATCCGAATCTTTGAATCCACCCACAGGCTCCTTGAAGGATCCGGTGAAGAAGCGGAGAAGCTTGTTGAGCGGATTCTGCATCGGTGGAAGGCCTCGCCCGGCACGCTGCAGGCGGTAGAGGGCATCAGTAAAGAACTGCTTCTGCTCTTCAGTCCAGCCATCCCGCCACCGGACGACAGCAAGCAACTTCTCCAGATCCAGCTCTGAGTTCCCTTCAATCAGCCTCTGGAGCTTTTGGAAACCCCCCGACTTGGCGAGTTCAGGCCAGAACCGCGAGTTTGTGTTGTTCGGGAGAACCGATCTGAAGCCTTTCACCAGCTCGTCCACGGGTGCCTTGAAGTTCTGATTCCAGACTGCTTTGCAGCTCAGACGAGTATACTCCTGGGCTCTGCTGAAAGGCACAAGGTCATCGGGCTGGATGCCCTGGGGAGCAAGGGGACCCCACTCAGTGTAGAGGTATTCCCACATATCCTGGCTGCGCCACAGCGGTTTGTAGCAGTTCTGGTCTGTGTACCTTCCGGACTCAGGATCCACGATCTCATCGCAACTCTTCCATCCATACGTGTGCAACTCCTGTTGCCGGCGATGGCCATAGATCCCAGCAATCCACTCGCACTCTCGGATCAGGTCTTCGTCCTTGTATGCGTTGGGCGCGGGATGTGGCACTGCAGTTTGACCGTGCCAGATGCTCTCATAGATGACGCTGTGAAAGCCTGCCGGGGTGTAGCCCATGCCACTGATAACATAGGCCTTTGCAATCCACCGGCCAAGGAAGTTAAAACTTACCGCTTTTCCAGGCTCACCCTCACCTTGTCCCCCCGCCGCTGCAAGTTCGGCATCCGGCGCTTGCTCGTAATCTAGGATGGGAATGAGCTCACCAGAGATGAGTGGTTCTAGCAGCATCTGGGGCGTCGTGCTGTTCGCACACTTGCTGAGCTTCAAGCATTCTAAAGCCTTCTCGCTGGGCTTCTCCTCGGCCACAACGGATTCCAAGTTCAGCTGTATCCACTCTTTTCGCAACCCCCCGGCATCTATTCCATCTTCACCAAGGAAACCGACGGACAGGCTGCGCTCCCAATTTGCGTACCAAGCATGCTGGTTTGACCCATACGTCTTCCTGTCCCACCACTCTTCCACGTCAGAGTGGCTCATGAACTGGCGCGTCTGCTCAAAGATCGAAACTTCTCCTGTCCGGTTCAATTTGAGTCTGCCCTGACACCGAGAGCCCTGGCCGTTGATATAGCCGTCAGCATCGATCGAATGTAAGGCGCGAAATTCCGCATCGGCAAGTCTCCGCAGCCTCGGATCGTCTGCTCCGGGCTCTGTCGTCGTGGTCGTGGTCGTGGTCGTAGTCGTCGTAGTCGTGGCGGGACTCGGATTGAAGATCTGGTTCATGAGCCACCAGAATGGATTCTCTGCTCCTTCTCGCACCTGCCCTTGCGCCGCAAAGTGCGGCATCATTCTATGGCCGAAGCAGAGACTCCAGGCCGTGGCGTGAAGCGCGAAAGAAAGGACCGCCATGGCCAAGCAAGAGCTTTGAACGTAACCTAAATACCAGCACCTAAAGTCCTAAAGGAGCCCAGGGTTTAGGGTTTCGAAACCCCAACACCCGGACCCCTGGGCAACGGAGAGAAGTTTGCAAGCGAACTTGAGCCAAAATGGCTACGGGTAAGGTGGTCGAGATGACAGACTACTTCGCATGCCAGAAGACTGAAACGGTACGTGTGGGCAATACTATAGCGACCATCACGAGAATGCGCTGCGCCAAAGCTCGGACCACCACATCCCCAACCTTGTGTGACAGAAATGCCGATGCAACAGTACATGCTACATTTGCGCTCATGTCTGGATCTGTTTCTGCTTCGATGTCTGTGTTTGTTGCCGTGCCTGTGCATTGCTTTACGTGGGCTAACCATGAGAAGAACATGTGGAGACAAACATTACGCAATTCTAACATTCGTCCGAGAGATTGCGAAACACGCCAACGCATATGTTGACATGTTTGGCGACTAGCTGTTATTCAGCATGTCCATCTCATGACATTTGCATCTCCAGAAAATTCCTCTGCTTGGCAACCACGACGAAGGAAGCATAATCTCAACTCATCGGACCAAATCCAACAAAGTTTGGCGGCGTGGAAGCCTCGATGAAGTTTGCTGCCTCTGGGAAGCAAAGCTTCGAGAGCCCAGACTTTCGGAGTTTCGAGCCATTTCGTTTCGCTGTAGGGCTCCTCTGGCTCGGGGTTCAGGTTTGGCTTCAGGGTGCAATGGCTCTAAAGTTTGTAGTCTTTGAGGTTCTTGTTCGTTTCTTTAAGGAGGGGAGGGGAGGGTCCCAGCACAAACCAGGGCCAGAGCAACCGGGGGGTAAGGTCCCGCTTCCCGGCACCCTGCGGCTGAAGGGTTTAGGGTTTTTGTCCCTCCTACCTAGCAAAGCGTTTAGGGTTTAGGGTTTCGATGCTCACACTCGCACAAGGCAGGCAAGGCTCCACATAGTCGGAAGCTTCAAGAAGGCTCTGGGCTCTGCACGCGTACTTCAGCGTTTTTGGCTCTCGCTCTCGAATGCTTCAGCTTTCGGTTTTTCCCTCCTACCAAGCAAGGACGAAGCCCGCATTGCAGGGTAAGTCCGAAGAAACAGTTGAAGACGGCTTCACATTGGAGGCCAATAAGGGTTTAGGGTTTCAGTGTTATTTGTGCTTTTGGGGGCTTGTCGATTTCGGGCTCAACGGCTCGGAGGACAATTTCGGATGAACTCAGAGTGAATCAGGAATCTCACAGCATCATGAGGGCTGACAGAAACTCATGCAGAAAGGCAGGCTTTGTCCGGCGCGATCGCAATTTTCCATACAACTCTTTTTTGGCCACCCCGAGGGCCTGTGAAGCCGAATAAGGTAGGGATATCCCTATGAAATGCTTGTAGAATAAGTTTTGGTGGCCCACTATGCTGTAATTTTGAAGGAACCCCCAAAACCCTGTTCTAATTACAGTATTAAGGCCCTTACATCATGCTTGTGTCCTGCTTGGGTCCCTAAACCCCGCCTCTTCCAAAGCACGCCGCCCCGTGGCCACGATGGAATCCGCAATCTCGGAGCAGGGCCTCGGAACCCACAAAACAGGCGCGAAACCATGAGAAGGACAGAGAAATCCTGGAGCAAGGTTGCACTTCTTCTTTGTGAATTCGGGGGGCCCCAAGACTAACAAGTTGAACCAGCACAATTTGGGCAGGCCTAGCGAGGTTCCTGGTACCACGACGACGGCACATTGGCCCACAAGAGCGGCACGTTCACCACTCCACAAGCAGCTCGACATAGCAGCATCAAACACAACTTGTTTTTTCCACGTGCCGTTTTTCTTGTCTATAACAGGTCTGCCGGGGCCCTGCCTCAGGCAGGGAACACCCCAGCAAGAAAGAGCCTATCTATCTACCTAGAGGTGGGCAAAGTCCCAAGCCTCTCGTGGCTTCTGACTCTCCGACTTTCAGGTATCTCGCACAGCTCATGGGCTCCAATGCGGGCTATGGCCTCTCGGATTATAGCGGTTATCGGGTCAGGTAGGTCTACGCAAAAGTTTTTCCTGAGGCCCTGATCATTAACCTGACATGCTAAACCTCTGAACGTCCAGGATCAGCAGACTTCCTCCCATGGTGCGAGCGATTCTTCGTCGGTGCAGGCTCGGCAAGCGAGCGCGAAAATCTGGAAAAACCACACCGTCCAGTTTGCGTGTCCAGGAATGTTGCACTCCATGCAGACACTTATTCGGAGACTGCTTGCGGGCCGAGGGCCCGGGAACGTCAACCGACCGGACGGCTGGCAGCATGAAAGCACGTAAACGTCTCCTTCTGCTCTGCAAAGAAAGAGGCAGCATCAACGGCTGCCTACCAAGGAATACATATTACCAGAGTGCCCCCAGCAACTCAAACTTGCAGGCGGCCATTCCCAAATGCAGCAACACTCACACCTGATCCCGACCCTCTCCGCAGAAAGCCAGAAGGAGGAGCTTTTTAAGGTGTTGGCCCGAGAGGAAGGCCCACCGAAAATTCAACCAAACAGCCCAGAAAGTGTGGGACGGTGCCCGAAGTGCTGAAGACCAGAAACATACATGATCTGACCATAGTAGACTCTAGTTACATTGTTACATACATAGAGGAAAGAGGCGTCGAGCATAATTTCCAGGCCATCAGGAGAAAGGGTCCGGCCCGGCGCGCTACGTATTTTCGAGGCAGCCGACCAGCCAGCACCCGACAAGTCCATGCCTTTTTCGTCTCACCGCTTCACATGGGAGATGAAGGTCACTGCCAGCGCACCCAGAATGGCAAAGAAGAACAAGAGGCCCACCAAGATGCCTACCATCGAACCCGTGTCGGCCATGATGCCCTCATCCATGCCATAGAACTCCAAAATGGTCACTGGCTGTCCGTCCTCAAAGAAGACCTGCAACTTTCCAAGGTCCGAATCCTTGAACTGGTTGAGCATCAGCACCGCCCAAGAATACCTCATGAAGGATGTCCAGGAGTACCAGTACCATCCGACTGGGATCTTGTTGAATACGATGAAGAGCCCACCGAAGTACAGGCATGTAGTGACATAGGTTGGGAGCAGGGCGTTGGCGGCCTCCATGTTAGGTGACACGGCAGCCACGGCATAGGCCAGGACAATGCCCACCATGGCAGTGAGGAAGTAGGCCACAGTGAAGATCGCCAGGCTTCCCTGCAGGTCCATGGCGTAGAAAACGGAGATGGTGAAGACCAAGCTCGTGAGTACGCACAGCACTGCCTCCTCGATAAATTTGTAGACATAGTATGTCAGACCGGTGTAAAGACCGTCTGCACGCTCGCGGTAGAAGAGGGCTCGCTCCAGCGTCAAAGAAGGGACATAGGCCGCAGCTCCATAGCCGCAGAGGGCACACACGAAAAACAGCAGCGCCGCGGTTGATTGGATGCTCTGCGCGTCGCTCTTGCTGCCAATGCCCCAGTAGAGAGACAGTGTGAGGAGTGCCATGAAGATCTTGTCCCCGAAGCGCGGGCCCAGGAACTCCCCGTCCTTGTAGTGAGTCGACATGCGGTATGACAGCAAGGTCTTCAGAGCATGCAACTGTCCAGGCCCGGAAGTTGGCAGAGTCTTCAGCGACAGTGGCTCGGCCTTCAGCTTCTCAAAGGTCTCGTTCAGATCCTTGGAATAGGCCTCGCTGGCAGGGCTCTTGAGCCAGAGCTGCGAGAAGTCTGCAGTGGCCGCAGCGCCGTCCTCTGCACCATCTGCATCTGTGAGTGAGCCAGTAGCTCCGCTAGTGGTGTCCACCAGCCAATCTGGTAGGGAATAGCCCTGCTCTTCCGGGAAAGGATAGCCGCAGTGGACGAAGTGCGATTTCACATCAGCCACCCTGCCGGCATAGACCATGGCCCCTCCAGCCTGCAGCATCATGAGGTCGTCGAACAGGGAGAAGGCATAGCTTGTCGGGGAATGGATGGTGGCCACGATTGTATAGCCTTCCTTGCCGAGTTCCTTCAAGATGGAGCACACCTCATTTGCCATCTTCGAATCGAGTCCAGAGGTGGGCTCGTCCAAGAATACCACCAAAGGCTGCGAGATCAAGGAGAGGGCGACGTTCACACGCTTGGCCTGGCCACCGGATATGCCTCGTCGTAGCACATTGCCGATGACGGTGTTGCGGCACTTCTCCAGGCGCAGCTGACTGATCACGGAATCCACTCGCTTCCGCTTGTCCTCCTTCTGCAAGGAACGAGGGAGCTTCATCTCGGCTGTGTACATAAGCATCTGGTCGACCGTGAGTTCGCCAAGCAGGGTATCGAACTGCTCCACGTAGCCAGTCAGATGCTTGAGCACCCCGGCAGAAGCGGCACTGCCTCCGTAGAGGACCTCACCATCGATCTGACCGGCGCCGCTTTTGCGACCGGCAAGAATGTCCATCAAGGTGGTCTTGCCGGAACCACTGGGGCCCATCAGTGCGGTGAGCCGGCCTGGCTGGAAAGCCTGGGTTCTTGTCAAGGGATTTATTTTAAGTTACCATAATGAAGAAACCATATTATTTACTATAGATCCCTATGCTGGTAACTTCAAGTAAGTCCCATAACAAGAACCCAGAAGCTCCACTAAGGTCCTTCAGAATGGCATATCTCTCTTTGGACTTCTTCACGGGCACGGAGTAAGTGAGCTTGTTGAAGGTGACCGCCACTCCATTGCTGGACGCAGATGCGGGAAGCTTTCCTGTCATTGCCAGGTCTCCACAAGGCTTTGGAGATCGAAGAGGCGGGGACTTGAGCTGCAAATGCTTGAAGCCAAAATGGAGGGGCGTTGTTGGGGGACCTGGTAACAGAGGGGCCTTCAGCATTAGAACAGGGTCTTGGGGTCTAGCTTCGCATGATATTGTGCGGACTATAGCTGCAGCTAAAGTGTGCGAAAGTATTCCCAACTTTTCAGATCCCGTTTATGTCAGATTCATGATACAGCAGCCTGCCAGCTATTCCAGACCAAGGCCGATACATGCGGCCGCTGAAGGACGCCGAGGAGTAGCCGTAGGTCCTTGCAGCATGTGTGATGATTTGTGGCTTCAGGGTTAGAGAGAAGTCAGGGGCGCCGACACGTTTGCGAAGTACTTCAGGGCAAACTGCTTGTGCTCCAGGCGCTTTGCCTTAGAGCCAGTCTGGGCAGGAGAAATCTACGTGCGCCATCGAAAAGCCTACGAGATCGTGGCCGACAAATAGAGATTGAGCGAGCGAGGGCAGAAAAAAGATAGAAAGCACAACTACGATCGTCGCCGTAAGCCCTAAGCCCTTTCAAGAGAGCTCCAGAAAATGGGGTACATGGAAAACCCAGAGAAACAGAACTTCTATTATGCAACCACCAGATAAGGTACCCTTGATTTAGAAAACCACCTATTTCCAAACCGCTTTCCACTCTTACAAAATTAGTGAAAAAAGACCTTGCAAACCCTTCTAAAGCCGTGATCGACTCCCTGCAAAAATCTCGAGGTCTGTTCAAACCCTTGATCTTGACCTTACGCCCAAACCACACCCAGTCTCGAGGCGCCAGCTGGGACGACTACACTCCGGTCCGTGATAAACGAAAACACTAGCTAGGTGGGGCTTTTAAAGCCTTTGAAAAATATTAGTGAATAAGATCCTCTTTAGCCCAATAAGGGAAAATATAAAATGTCCTAAAGCTCTGCCTAGTCACGAGAGGCGACATCCACCGTGAACTCAGGATCTGACTCACTGAGCATCGGAAACAGTGGCAATGCACACCCAAAACCTGGACCCCGCCTTTGAAACCAAAAGGAAACTCTCCCTTTTTCGAAGGCCCCGACCATGGCTGGCGAGGTGGAGCTCTGCTTGGCGAGGCGCTTCGTCTCCGCGCGGAGCTGCAGAACCTTCGGCTTCCAAGGTCCATGGATTTGCGTGGCGGATTTCGGATTTAGTCAGGGGGCCTGAGGAATTGTAAGAGTTTTGAATAATGGGGCCTGAAGATTTAGAACAGTGTTTTGTTAAAAATCTCATATTTGGGTTTGAAGCATTCGACTAGTGTGTAAAAAAGGTTTGAATAAGCTATTGTAGGACTGTCGCAACCCTCGGCGCGGCTGGTGCGACATGTCCGGTTGCAACGTTCCGCAAAGCATTCTCCAGGGCGGCATGTGCGATCCTGACTGCCCCAGTCTTTCCGCTCTTCGTCACAAAAGATTCCATGTCCGTATCAGCTCCTTGTGGCGCTTGGCCTTGGCCGACCCTTAGCCAATTTCGACATCATTCGCAGCCTCAGAGACACAGCTCCACTCTCCGGTTTGACTGACGACAGATTGAGCAGTCAGAGTCTGTTGCCACTCAAATTGGGTACGTTGTGAGCATGTTTCAGTGGAGGAAGAGGAGCGCTTTGAATACTTTAAACGCTCCTGTTCGTCCACTGAAACATCCACTACACGTTGGAGCCGGCTCGCGATGACGTAGGCTGTCAAAACGACAAATTGTATGCTGGCAGTTTCCCCGAGATTAGGCAGTTTATCATGTAGCTCCGCCACGGAGACTGCGACTCACGAGGCTGCCAAGAATTTTAGGTGCAACGTACGCGTGCTGGAGTGCATGGCGTGACAACTGTGCGATAACTTCTCCCGAGACAGGCACTGGCCGCGCGAAAGCATAATAACAGACTTGTCTATGCAGCAGCATCAACCTTGGCCACGGCAACAGAGAGTGCCTGCAAAAAAGCGGCAGAAACCGACCTCGCAGCACTGCGATCAGGAAGTGACGCGGCTCGGTCCGTAATTGGGTCAGCCCCAGCCTCGCAAGGACCGAGTTCCACGAAACATTGTGAAGCAACGCAGGACCAGGGCGCGCATTACACCATCATCCCCGCTGCAACCATCGCCGAGTCGAGCTTGTCTCGAATCGGCCGAATCTTGACGAAGATCAGGCCCAAGTTGTGGACTCTGCTTGTGTTCAGCTCTGCTGTCGGAGGGATTAGCCTACAGTCTACGGTGCTCTTCATACAACGGGAGAATCGACACGCCTCTCAAAACCGTCCGGTCGGATCCCGCCGACACTATCAGCTGCAATGTGAAGGCAATGTAGAAAATCCCAGCGGACAGCCGCACGCTGTGGGCATGCCTGCAAAGCAGCCAGGCCGCTGATCCAGCTCGGCCAGAAGCAACGAAGCAAGTGGTGACTTTCCGCACGGCTTGTGAGGTCCACATGCTCCACATGCCAGCGGCTGCTACTTCTTGATTTTGAAGTCGGCGTCTGCCCCACCCAAACGATACCTTCGCTCTGCAGATTCCACACGAAAGTCGTCGGAGCAGCCTCTTGGCGGTCCGCAACCGAAAACCTGATTTGGGCTAATGCAACCCTTGAGCCGTGCCGTACAGTACTGCCTTGGGGATTTAGGGTTGGAATTCAGAGTATAGGTTTTAGGCCTGGCTTGCTTCGGACGAATGTTGGTTGGCCCGGCGTGAAAGCAAAGAAGCCTCCAACTGGACCTAAAGCGCTCAGCTCCTACATCAGATCATCTTATCGCAAGCGACGAGGCCCCAAAACCTGCCCACGAAAACCCAGAGGTGCTCCTTAATCCTTAAGCAATGCAGCCTTACACTGCCATCCCAACCCGTTCCACTCTCGGCCTCAGCAAGCATAAGGGGTAGGAGCCCCTGCCGCAGCTTGGGACCTGCAGTCAGCTTATTTGTAGTAGGACCATTGTACATATTGCAAGACGGGCTTAATATGTAGTATGACCATCACCAAACTAGTACCATCACTGATGCAAATGTCGAGGACTGCGAAGACGACGACGGCTAGTTCCTTTCCTTCCCCCTCTTCTACCGAGTCTGCGACACCTACTGCGGACCGCTTGCCGTGGCTGTGATGCTAGGTTTCCCAGTGATGCTTGTTTTGCTCAACCACGAGAAACCCAGTAACCCAGTGCTCTGCCTGAGGCCTTCACCACCTGGTAAACACCAAACACTGGGTGAAATATCCCTTAAATAAGGAATGTTCCTTAAATCATATTGGGGATCCTACTATAATTCCTTAAATCATATTAGGGATCCTACTATATATCCTTAAATCATATTAGGGATCCTACTATAATTTAAGGTAGCCGGGTGATGATAATGACCGCTCCTGCTCTGGAGATCACTGTACCTGCTACCTTGGAACTGAAGCCTGCATTCCACACCCAACCCCTACTAACCCTAAACCCTAAACCCTAAACACACCCTTTCATTCTTTAGGGACCTGAAACCCTCGACGAAACTCTAACATCGGAGTCCCTTCGCGAATTTGGTGACAGCAATCCGAACGACTTCACCATCCAGGTAAGGCAACTGCAGGCACCTGCTCCTGCCGAGGGAATCGCTCTCAAGTACACCAAAACATACGTCTCGGTCTTGATCAAAGCCCAATGCCCTTCATGATCAAACAAAGATGAGTGGAACTTCTGGGTGGCTGAACGGAACCTCAAGCCCTGACAGCAAGCTCCGATCCGCTACCCGTCAGAACTTGTCAGGTTTCCTCATGAACCGGGGTCCCGTCTCACGAAGAGGCTTCCACTTGCGGCAACCCGGACCTTGGCGGAGTTAAGGTCTGGGGCCTTGGCTTAGGGCTGACTGTACAGGCCGAATAATATAGGGGCCTGAATAATTACCAATACTATTTTGGGGGTTCCTTATTATAACTATAGTATAATATATTCGAATTATTAAGGCCCCTATATTAACCCTTCAGCAATGAGTGAGGCCATGAAGCGTTGGGAATAGAAACCAAAATGGCCAGTCGAATGGCACTAGTAGCAACGAGGTAGGCCAAAAGAATACCTCCTACTCTACTCCTATTTTAACTTGACTCTTGCACCTATACTTCTACGATGAAACTTCGATGGAAACTTCGTTGGCAGCAGCAAGCGACGCCCTCAAACCTTATGTAAGCCGATGACCCTGAAGCTCTTGACCCTCGACCCTTAAAGACACTAGAACCCCTTCAAACCCTGAAGCCCTGGACCTTCAAACCCATAAAACTAGAGACTCTGAAATTTTCAGAACCCTTCTAGAACCCTCAACCAGCAGCCTATCAATCCTAAACCTCCCTTATACAACAAGTATTATCGGAATAGTTGTGGTAACCCTTATATGCAGGAACTAGTCAAGGAACTCTAATATAGAAAAACTTACACAACTCCTGAGAACGCCCCTCTCAGTTTCCTGGGCACCGGTCGGGTGAATCGCTGCTGGGCTCTTCGAGGACCGAGCCTACCGCTGGCCGCTTTGGGAAGACTCGAATACCCGTTCCTTACATTTCACGGCGTCTTCACGAGTGGGAGTACAAGATCAGTGCCTTACAGTTCATTTTGAGATTTTGGGGTTGCAAGCACTTGAAGGGTTTAGGGTTTAGGGCCGCGACTCACGCGCCGGGATAGAGCAGCTACACTTCTAACGGCGCTGTGCAGCGCTGTGAAACCTGAGAAGTGCAGGGGGAGGGGGGATTGGGGGGCGCCCGCCTGCAGTGTATAATGAGCTGAGATCCGTGACTTCGCACCCAAGGAGTGCCAGCTTCAGATTTTCAAGTCCTCTGCTATGGGTGATGCACGGCAGCGCGCTCTACTGAGCGTCGTCCAGGCAGCGCCAGCTTGCGGCCCCCAAAACTTTGACACTTGAAATGAAACACCAAAGGATGAACTTCAAATCCGGAGCCCTCAACGAATCCCGCAGCCGGCGGCTGAGGCTCTGGCTCTCGAAGGCAGCCTAGGCGGGAAGCGCCCTAATATAGGGGCTTTAATAATTAGTAATTAGAATAGGGTTTCGGGGCCCATTCTACTATAATTACTATAATTACAAGAAGCAGCCACCAACATAGTATTGACAAGTCTTTAGGCCCCTATAGTAGACTACCGAAGGGCTTGGGGCTTCCGGGCTTGATGGCTTCAAGCCTCTCTGGAACCTTTTGTTGTTGTCATGGGCTCTAAACCTAAATCCTGAACACTGACCTGTAGTCAGCCCAACAAAATTTAGTATTGCTGATCGTGGTTGCTTTTCTCGGAAGTATGCTACATATGTTGATGCCAGAAATGGTTGGGTGTCTGAGTGCTGTCAAGCCGCAAGTAAAACCCATCACAGCCAGGCTTATGACACGCCTATAGCTATGCCGACAGAAAAAGGCACATTCATCAGATGTCTCCTCCTGATCTCTTACGGGACCCTTGAGTTGCCATTGTTGCATTCACAGGGAGCTTGACAGTACGCTCACGTAACATTTGTGCCTGACGGGTTGCGGAAGATGCTGCGGAACTCTCAACATCCAGACTAGCCTCAAGATTCCAGAAGGGCTCGCGAAGCTACAAAGCTCTGAAATCCAGAGGCAAGCTGACCCTGCAACCTTTGCAGCAAGCACATACAAAGTAGCTGACTGGATGGCTGCATGTGCTGTGCTGGTTCTACACCTCACGAAGGAAGAACTGAACTGAGTGTCCCACTTCCCAGCCCCGCATCCCCGAGAACCCCGCTGCAGAAGCGGCACCACCGTCACCCAGTGGCCAGGAGCCGGTACGAACCTCGAGAAGTATGGCCAAGGGCACTTTCGATAGTTGCTTAGATTCGACCGGTGAGAGGCGCGCAAGTCCTACCCAAGCCATACTGAAGGGCACCTACAGAAACTGGGCTCTTTATTATGGTAACTTAAATTAATTAAACCCCTTAACAAGAAGCGCGGAAACTGCTGAATGCCGGAACTTCCTCCGAAATCCCAATCTGAGGCTGCATGCTCCCATCTGGCAGCGGGGCCCGGGTAGGGTGCGCCTGGCTGCTTCCCGTCACGTGCTGTCTTATTATTTCTCGTAGTCGTCTCAAGTTTTCCACCACCGCTACTACGACGCACTGATTCCACAACTACCCATACCACTACCATGACTAGACCACTACGAGCACCTAACCACAGCAGCGACGACCACCAGGACGAGTACGACGACGACGGCCACGACAAGCATGACAATGACGCCGAGCGCGAGATGACTGCGAGGACCACAACGACGACGCCGACCACCACGACTGCTACTATCACTCTTCTCCTCTTCTCACTCTCCTCAGGTCTGAGCTTGGTATTCTAGCTTGACCTGTAGGTTTGTGATGCTTAGTCAGGCTTAGTCCGAGCGGTTCGGTTGGAATTCCTCTCTGGCAGCAAGCCAGGGGTTCCTAATTTCAAGCCCTGGATGCTTCGGGGTGCTGCTGCTGAACAGAGCCTGGTTCAAGCAGCAACATCAGCCATGTGGACAACCCTCAGCCAATGCAACCCTACAGACGACTTCATAAGAACCCCGATAGAAGCCCGACAACCCCCTCCAAAAGCATCCAAGGGGCCTGAAATGACCCAAGCAGGTGTCGAAGGAGATGTTGTGAGCCACCTCGGCTAGCGAGCACTCCGGCCGCAGGTGCAGAGGATTCCAAGAAAATGCGCCCTCAACGGTTTTTGTTTGCTCACACCTTTTCCGTCTGCAGGAGTCTGAAAAGGGGTTTCGGGTTTCAGGTCTTGTTAGGGTCTAGGGCTTAAAGAATTCACACGGGGCGGTGGTCGTGAAACAGCTCTTGTCCTCATATAGACACTGGCACTTGTCACTACTCCTCATGTTGCCTGTCCAAGTTGACTAAAGCTTCATCTGGCTACATGCGAAGGCTCCACAGTGGAACAAGAATGCCAAAGCATTGAGAACTATACCTACTATACACACAACCAGGACGGCACAGACAAGCAGCGGACAAGGATTCAGAAATCATTGAAGCCACAGGTAAAGATGAAGAAATGGAGATTCACTTGCAGGATCATTACCCCTGAACCTGCTGAGGTGCGGCGGGCATGCTCACGCGAGGCTTCACACGACAGCAACCTAAAGACCACCTGAACCAAGACAACCGTCACTGTGCAGTCTTGACGTTTGTGTCGTCTGTTGGTCCCCCAAGCTGAGCAGCTCAGCACCGCACAATGAGGGAAGGGTACATACCTCAACCATTGTTCGTCAGCGGGCGGGTTGCCCTGATAATCCCTGCACACTGCATACTGAGACTGCGATTGTGTAGAATGTGGCATGGTTCACCTTGATTCGGGGCCTCGACTCTACAACTCTACGATTGGGCTTGCTACACCCGGAGTCTGCTGATGGTTGGTGCTCTTGGCGGCTTGAATACGGCCTCACATACACACACACACACACGTACGCATTGGAAGCCTTGAATGGGTCCGGCGTTGAGCCCTCGAGCATCCTCCCTTCAGCAGGGTTTAGGGCAATTAAGGTTTTGGGTTTCGGGTCTAGAGTTTAGGGTCTCGGCGGGCTCAGACTCGCACAATCCAGGCGAGGCATATGGTTCAGGGTTTGAGCCCTTCTACAGGGGCACCTTTGAAGTCGAGGACCAGCACCGGATCCCAGTAGAAGCCGGAGCAAGGCTCCATGACCAAAGGCCTCGTCGCGGCTGCGGAGGCATTGCTGCACCCGATGGCTTCAGTACCAGTACAACTCATATCATATATGCACATACACCAAGACATACACACACACACACTATATGTACATATATATATATATATATATGTACATATAGTGTGTGTGTGTGTGTCACTGCAGTCGTAGAAGGAGTAGCGCTAGCAGCAGCACATGGCCTAAATCAAGCAGCCCCAGCTGCAAATGTTGAGTACTCAATCGTTTGAAGTATGCAGGTACAGGTGGTGCAAGATTTCGTCCATCCAATGCACTGGTAGTCGTTGTCGTACTAGTAGCAGTAGCAGCAGCAGGAGCAGTAGCAGTAGTAGCAGTCATGGTCTGCTACTACTGCGAGTACTCCTGTTGCCACTACTGCTACTCCTCCTGCTCTGCTCCTGCTGCTCCTGCTACTGCTACTGCTGCAGCTGCTGCTGATGCTGCTGACTACTACTGCTCCGGCTCCTACTACTCCTGCTGCTGGTGCCGCTATGCGGACTACGTGGCTTCTGTTCCACGCTCTCTACCACTGTTGTGAGGTTCTTGGCTTTCGGAGTACTGGGCTGTAGGACTGCAGGGCCAGGGTGTCTATTCTGCTCGGTGGGGCTTTTAAAGCCTTTGAAAAATATTAGTAAATAAGATCCTCTTTAGCCCAATAAGGGAAAATATAAAATGCCCCAAAGCTCTACCTAGTTCTGGGGATGTGCGCCCTTGAGTCAGTGGTCGGCCATTGAGGGCTTAGGCGCAGGAAGCTGCAAGGACCCCTTCCCTATGATGGGCTATATGATGGGTATATAATAGCTATATATATTAAGGGTATATACCTAGGGGTCCTTATTAAGGGTCCCTCCTTGTCGCGAATAGGAGGCACCATCTTTTGGCAGAGTTTTCTGAAGCAGCTGCAATGAAAATTGTCTCGCCAGTGGGTACCTGGAGTCCAAACCGGATGTGGAATGGAGCAATCATTGACCCTGTCATGATTTCCACAGGCCGCACACCCATAGGTTTAAAGATTGAATATCCAGGCACACCATTGGAGTAGCGAACGGTGCGGCACGAAATTGTGTCTGATTCAGCTCAGGTTGCAGATGGACTCTGCCGTCATCAAGGGCTTCTCCGTGCTTCTATGGTTTTATTTAGGGTTGATTATGCCCTCAACCATGAAGCCTTCGAAAACCATCAGGGCATCACCCAAACCTATGTAGGCTAGAAATTATTCGAGGCGGTACCCTGATCTTCCTGAGCTGAGATGGCTGTCTTTGGCCAGGGTGTGTTGGGCAGAGCCCCCTGTAAAACAGCTTTGGGTGCCATGACGCTCTTAAGCCCTACATGCTTATCTTCTTTTAGCCCTGACCCTGAAATCTCCTACCAAAAAAGCTTCTGTTCGGGTCTGGCTCTGGGCTACACGGTATGGATCAGCAACTTTGCATCCGAAGTCTTCCTTCTCTTCATGGATTTCGGGTTAGAATGCGAAGATTTCATGCGGTTCCATAGGGAGTTACCCTAAACCCCAAACCCTAGCAATCCAGCCTTGGCCTGAACGCTAAGCCCTATGCCGATGAACACGAATCTGAATCCGCGTTCATGAAGCAACTGTCTGGCTCTGTTGCTCCATGCTGCTCGGCAATCGCGTCAAGCTTTTAGAGTGCTCCACAATTTTAAGTTTCAGTCTTAGTAAGGTTCAAGTGATAGTTCGAGAGGTTAGCTGTCAGGGGTCTCTCCGCCCAACTGCTTATAGCTTAAATCAATAATTGCTCGGCCAATGGCGAAAACTCCGCGGAGCAAGGAGGCCAGCCGATGGCAAAACTGTCTGCCAGAGCCCATGCTTGCAACAAACGTCTGCTCGCAGCCCTGAAGCCTTGTCCGCAGCCCGCAACCTCAACAGTCCCTGTTTCCCGAATGCAGGCGGCGTTGCCATGCATCGCCACTGCTTCTTGGCTCACTCCGGTGGCTTCAGCACCTGCTCGGAAAGCTGCCGCAAGGCCGTCGGGGATCCATCGATTGAGGTGTTAGCTGCCTGAGTGCACAGGCGGATGCCAGCAGCATGTTTCTTGCTGGACTGTTGTAGTATCTATATGACTGCTGAGGACATTTTCCTTTGGATCTACTGTAATGCTTCGTGACATGCTCCTTCTATCAAGTATGATGAGGTGCCACAAATAGAAAGCCAGCGGCGCCTCCATTCCCATCATGTACGGCCGGAGGACTTCTGGAATTGTCACAGAGCCGTCCTCACTGACATGGGATATGTGACATCCTTTTTTTGCAGCTGGGCTCTTACCCCGAACCCTAACCCCAAAGACCTAAACTGAGAACTTCTGATATGGCCCTGTAACCTAAAACCCGGCACCCTACCACAGCACCGGTCCTCGTTCTGAAACGTCTCCAGAATCGAGATGATCATTCGGGGAACAGCACACGCCGTTCCGTTGAGCGTGTGGGCAAACTGCAGGTTCCCCTGTGATCCCAGGTTTCGGCACTCACTCTCGGACATAGGGTTGTGGGGGTTCCTTATTATAACTATTGTATAATATACCCCAAACCCTATTCTAGTTATTAAGGCCCCTACATTGGTTTAGGGTTGTTTGCCTCAGTGTTTCGACTCTCACAGCTAGGCAATCCGGGCGTCTGAGCGTGCAGGCTCTTAATCAGCACAACGCTTCGCTTAGTGACTGTAAGTGGAGGGTGCAGTGTTTGCACGCTCACTCTCGGACAATCCAGGCGAGGCACGTGGTTCGAGGTCTGCATTTACGGTTTCGGGTTGGCTAAGTTCTGTTCACAGAGCTTTCGGGATCCGATTCTTGGAGGTAAAGGTTCACAGGGTCTGCAAGCCAATTGCCACCGTATCATGCAAAGAACGATAGAGTCGCAATGCAGCGGCGGCACTCTCTTTTCAATCACATACACAGAAACACACCCACACACAGAGCACAAATACAAAGCTCTGTAGCCGCAGCCCTTCTGCGGTGCCTTCTGGTTGTACTCCTCTTTGTGCCGGATGTTCAGCCTCCGGGCCTGCACAACACTGATGGCACTCCTATGCACTCCTGTGATATGCTGTAACTGTAACTACTATAATACAATATACGAATGACCCAGGCTGAATTGACACAACGGCTTCGCTTAGGCAGTAACTTGATTGATCGACATACGACATAGTAGATGCATGGCGTATCATCAGTGTGGCTCGTGGTCGTTGCGGGGATAATGGTGCAAGGACGCGGCACAGGGGGCTACCCCGTGTTGGCAAAAATCTTGGAGCCTACAAAGGCCACATGCATGCATCCGGAATCGGCTGCGCATCCCCTAAACCCTTTTGGTTGTATCAGGACTTGTGCAAGCGCTTGAATGTTGGAGCAAACACGGAGGTTGGAGGTTCAGCCATCCTTTATTTTTACACCTGGCCTTGATGAAAATCTACACTCTAAGGCGCACCTGGTAGTCGGTGCAGCTGGAGCAGGAGGAGATCTCTCCCCACTTTTCCAGCCCCGGCATCCAGGCCTGCTTCGTCTTGGGCTTTCTGTGCACTTCCGCGCAGTCTATCGGTGTTGAACGTAGAATGCTGCGAGTTCTATGGGCTCTAGTAAAGATTGAAGAAAGACCGTCGCGTGCTTTGCCCTGACTTTGCCGACCATTCCATGCCAGTGTGTCCAAATACGATCGGCTTTACGTAGTGCCTCGGACATAGTCGAAGGCGGCTGACAGTGTAGAGATCAATCCGGCGCTTTAGGACTCCTCCCATCCATATGCTGAGAGTCCAATCCAACTATGCTAACCGGCAATTAGAAGCCTTTCCTTGGAGTTTTAGGAAGAACCAATGAAAGCACCGAAACCTGGCCACCGAGGGGCCTAAGCCAACCTCAAAAACCCTGGCAAAAGTCCCTGCCTCCATGTCAAACTTTCTGTAGGCCGGGGCCCCCAACTCCTCGGTTGGCCTTGGGCTTCGAATCATTAAAAGAGTGTACTACAATGGACTGCAAACCATTACAAGACAAAAGCGTATATCATATATATATATATATAGAGATAGGTATATATACAAATAAAGATAGATGACAGTATGTTTATCGTGGATGTTTTGACGTTTGAGCTGTGCGGTGTCAAGTTCCAGAGAGAGTTACATATTGGTTCTGGGCTTGGTGCGTGGGCTTGGGTTTAAAGGATTCAACTCAGCTCCTGCACTGAGTGAGCATCACACGGGACAATATGTGTGAAGCGACTGACTCGCTGAAAAGGCGATGTGACACAACCTCAAAGGTCACAGTGATTGAGGCAAACCTGTGCGTGCGCGCGAAAACATCATAGCTGCTGCCAAAGAAACATGTCCAAGACACGGAAGCAAAGGCCCAGCTGTGTGAAGAGGTCCTCCTCAAAGTAAAACGTGCGGCTGTGGGGGAGTTGTACGAACTAGAAATCGTGATGATTTGGGAGGGGGCTGGGCGTAGGGGTGTCAGATACCCGAGTTTCGACTCTTGCAACGATGCAAGTAGGCAGCCTGAGCATCCAATGAACATCTTGACCTTGACACGATATCTCGCTTTCTACCATATCGTGCGTATAGGGCGAGAAAACGACGAGCAACACTCACAACGGCTGGTACTCCCACCACGGCCACCACCACCACCAGCACCCACTACTGTATTCCTCCTCCTCCTCCGCCAGCTGTTGTTGCTGCTACTGTTGCGACGACTAAGGCCATAACGAGGACGAGGAGAAGGACGACGACGAGCACCACCACCCACATTCAGAACCTGTATCTATACCCAGATACCGCTGGCGCTCGAGCTGCGTCTCATTTCGCTAGGGACGACCATCACTCTTCCTTACTCTGAAGTTTTTTTGAACCCAGGCTCTATGCCATCATCAGCTTACTCTGAAGTTGATAGCTGAAACCATATACCAGTTTTGTCGTCATTGCCGCAATTTCTCCTCGTTGCTTCTACTTTGCTAGACCTATACTGAACTTAGAACCCTAGCAAAAGTTATAATTTCAGCTGTTTCTTAGGGGCTAAAATAACCAAAACTTAAGAATTATTTCTAGGACCCCCCTAAGAGACACCGCGGGGATTGGTTCCTCGAGCTCCCGAATCTCGTCGAGCATATTGTTGGACCTGCAGCTCGGGTTTGCGGGCTTTGGAGGCTTCTAGGGATGTTGGGGAGTTTCCGAAAGATTAGGGGTAACCTTTTTCTGGGGTCCTTGTAATAGGATCCTACTATTTTTGGTACTATACTAGTAACTAGGGTCCCCTATTTTCGGAAACTCGCATTTCGGGATTAGGGGAGGCTGATGGACTGATGAGGTGCAATGCTGAGGCGAAGTCTGAGTTCTGTATATATGCAGTGTCGGTTCGGATTGCAACGCGCCGCGGGGCGATGCTTCGGCACAGTGATAGATAAACACAAAAAAATGATTGAAGCCTGCAGCCGAAGTCGGCAGGCATTCAACGCCCCCAAAGAATGACCAGGTCTCCAAGGTCCTACCATGCGTTTATGTCGGCGCTGCGGAGTGGGCAAATGGGAATGCCAGGACTGATGGGGCGGACGCAGGATGTCCCCCTGCTGATAGGATACTATGACCTGCTGTTTTTCACAGAAGCTAGGCAGCTAGGTAAGAACCAGCTAGCTAGCGGCACTGTGCTCTCCGCTTAACTTCCCGAGACGCTCCATGCCGTTACATCCCAAGTACTCTAGCGCAAGGCCGCTGCACCATCTGCAACATGGTGGTAGTAATTGCACCAGACATAGCAGCAAGATTAGTACTTGTAACAAATCTGAGGTTCATAAACACGTTGAGGCTGCCAAGGCACAAGCAACATCGGTTTCCAACTTGGCTACACAACAACCATGAATCTTCTTGATGTACTCTCCCAATCCCGTTCTTCATGTACTTCCAAAACTGTAGCCCCGAGGGCTTCCCTTGCGGGCCGCTGGACTTCAGGCCCTCGCTCATCTATGTCGGCCCGCGTAACTGCAAAGAGCTCCACCTGGCCAGGCAGCTGAAGAAAGGTACCCAGAGAGCCCAATGTCCGTCCCTTGATTAAGGAGTATGGCTTCAACTAGAGAGGGCTTCATATTATGATTTAAGCTATATTCCTGAATTAAGGGTATTGGGCTCTCTGGGTAGGAGGCTGGTGTCTACGGACAGGGTTTTGTTTTCAAGCGCAGAAAAGGTGAATGCTCCGGTATTGCCAAGGGTTGAGAATCTGCGGTGGTGGCGCTTCTGCCACCCAGACTGGCATATGGTGTCCATATTTCTTGCGCCGGGTGCAATAAAGGAGATGCCTACGTTAAACATCCCCACTACCTTCCAGGCCCAAAATGCACAAAGCATTGGGCACCCAGATGTCCAATGGCACTGAGGCCTTGATCACTCTTGCCTCGGCTCCGTGAAATCTCACCACATAACCTCAGATACCCTGAACCCAGACACAAAGCCCAAAACCCACGGTTCCCTCGGAGAGACACCTTGCTGAACTGGTGCAGCCGGTAGATGCCGCGGTTCTCCGAGCCCGAAGAGCCCGCCTCTCACGGACTTTGCGCTTGGCAAGCTGAAGTCGAGAAATCTTCGAACAAGTTTTTGGGAGGAGGCTACACTGGCGAGGAGGTGGGATTGCGCAGCAAGAACATGACGCGATATTGAGGCTCCGATATTCAGCAGTGAGGTGTCAGGTTTCGGTCTAGATGTTGCAGATCAGGCCCATCTTCTTATCTTCGGCCTCTACGACTCAACACTGGACATGGAAATCTTCAAGTCGGGGCTCACCTTTTCGTTGAGGGCTCGACCATGTGACGCTCTGTTCTCCTGTAGAGTCCATGCAATACCTATAAGATCCTCGCGTCCTCGAGCTGCGCCTAACTGAAAAATCCCTTCTACCCGGCCCTTTGTGCGCCTTGGCTCGGCTGGCTAAGCTTGGCCTGGCCTTGTTCCCTTCATGCGGCTCGGCTTCTGGCTTGGCTTGGCGTGGCTGTGCTCAGAGACAGACATGGACATGTATGTTAGCAGGTGCATACTCTTTTCCGTGTACAGGTAGGTCTATGCCGAATCAAGACCAAACCACACCGCAGCAAAGGCCAAGTTGTGCCGACCACGCTTTCGTCGATTCAACTTGGCCTTTGCTGCAGTGTGGTTTGGTCTTCATGCGGCGTAGAGGTATGCACATGTACATATGTATACGTATATGTACATATATATGTACATATGTACACATATAAGTGTACGTGTGTATATATATATATATATGCATATATGTACGTATACATATATATATATATATATATGTGTGTGTGTGTATCTCTATATATATATATACATGCATACATACATACACATACATATGCACAGCTATTTGCTGCTAAGCTGCTGATGTACACGTCTATGTTTATGTTTCTGCCTCTGTGGTGTCG